AGGAAAACTGTGGTCAAATTTATGAGGGCATTACTGTCATTTTCGTAGTATGAAAAGAGGGTTTTCTGACACATTTATGCGGCTGACATGCTTAATTAACCGTACGTGTACTCTCTGAATGGTATGACACATGGGGCCCTCAATTGTTTGAAAAGTTGAGTGGAAAGTAATGTGATTTAATGCAAAATAATAGGGGGCAAATAGGGACTAAAATAAACAATATATAAAAATATTATGTATCAATTCGATAAAAGCTTATCAAGTACAATGGAAAAATAAAAGAAACTACATTTTATTCGTCCCTATTATACTCTACTGTCATCGCGATACGAGCAAGGGTATATGGCGCTTTTGTAGCTTATAGATTTAGCCCCCGTTTGGCCCCCATTGTTTGAGGTTTGAATAATATTTTTTTGAAGAATGTATAATTAAAAAAATAGAAAAAAAAAATTGGTTATACGTGGTCACGTGGCACGTTCCATGTTAAGAAGATTTGAGTCCCACACGTGGTGTACCTGGAATTCCTTTCACTTTAATTAAAGGCAAACTTGCTCTACCGATCTCCAACTTATTGTCCAAAATAAGTTAGTCTCTATTCATGAAACATAAACAAATTTGTCCTCAACCTTTCATATAATTTCACGGTAAAGTCGCTTAGTATGGAAAATGCTTGAACTATATCTCTTTTGTCGTTCTTTAGATAGATTTGTCTTGAAACCTTTTAGTATTCTCTACATACTCACTTGTCTTGATTTCGTTGTCGATTAAAAAAGATATTGTTGTATCCTATTCCGAACTAGTAGTCTATAAAAATAGTTAAAATCGCCATTAAATTGGCACGCGATCCTCGCATGTAAGTGTTTATGAAGTTATGTTTTTCTTTCCAACTTAAACTAGTGTCTAAATATTTATAATGGGACATATTTTCATGGAATATACTACAAACTAACTTGCTCATTTTTTAAAGTTTATAAAAACTAGTGATTAGATGAGGTAAATTGGTGCAATTGGGAAAATTGGTTTGGATTCTTCTACCTTTCACCTAGGGTGAGTCCCAAATTATTCAAATATGGAATTCGACAAGAATGATCTACTTTTAACAGTTTACGTGAAAATTGTCAAACAACTTTAAATAATGTCGTTCTTTCTTGAAATCACATGAAAATTGTGTGCAACTTTAATGTCGACATTGACAGTTCTCAACTTGTAAGATCCAGGTTCATGATTTAAATATGATAAGGATCCAGAACTTTACATTTGAAAATTTAAAACCCGCAACTACAACATGTAAAAGATTGAGGAGCTGAGGTTATTTTTTTCTTAATTGTATATACATCTTTAGGGATGATAAAAAAAAACTCGACAAACTAGATACCTGTGGGAGCCCATCCCGATCGGTGGAGGGATTACTCGCTTAATTGGGTATTCGGGTTGGGGACAGGGTGAGGAATTTTGCCCTGGAGTAGGTTCGAGATGGGGACGGGTACCCCGCTCCTTTTAATTTTTAATTTTTTAGAATTCAATACTTTAAATAGAAAATTCCACGAAATTTTATTAGTTCTAATAGAAAATGACAAATAAAATTATTTTTCTCAATATAATGAATGCGAGTAATAAAATAAATTATCAAAAATTTTAAAAAATAAATAAATCAAACGGGGCAAGGACCCCGCCCTGCCTTGCCTTGCCTTAGACGGGTAACGGGGCGAGGAATTGCTTGGCGGGGAGGAGGAGGTTGCCCCGACCCTGCCTCTCGCCTCATTGCCATCCATATACATCTTGTGGAGTACGCGAACTAATCCAAATACAACTACTCACTGCTCCCTCTTTTTTCTGAAACTGTTACACCCCCCTCCCAAAAGACTTCTCGATTTCATTTACATCGCAATCTTTCTCTATTTTGTTTTTTTGATGAAATTCTCATAAATCAAGCAATCTTATGCGTTTATGTAACTCTGTATTGATCAAAAACTGAATCAATAATAAATATGGATATGGAAACTCTAACGAGTCGGAGTTCTTTTTTGAGGGAGAGGAATGCGGAGCACCCCGAAGAAGCCGATCAAGACGATGACGACTTGGGTTAAGCGGCAGCCGCCTAAGTGGTCGTCGTGTTGACCACTCTTATCTTCCTCCGCCTCATCGCTCACAACCACGATAACCTTTTCATCGCTGCTAAGTCTATCCATGCAATCGACATTTCCCTTCTCATTTACAAACTCACCCAAGATAAAACCTGCGTCGATAATAAAAATTTGTAGATTATCTGATGGGAAAAATGTTAGATGCATGTGGATACTTCGTTGTGGATCCATATATGGTGAAATTTGAATTTGGTTAATTGATGTTTTAAATACTTGGTTTATATAATTTACATTGAGCAAGAAAAATTAGTCATCGGTTAAATGTTTAGATCATGCTACATGTACGAAATTTTTTTACCAAATCTTTTACCTATTACTCACAATGGGATGGTGACCACATTGTTGAAATTTTTAAATACATGCGGGTCTCGCGCATTATGTGAGAGCAGGTAATCCATTATGTACAAATGGATTAACCCTAAATGTTTAGCATCGTCCATGAATATAATTTTCATATTAAGTGTATTCAATCGAAACTTTTAAAGACTTTTTGGGATTTAATGAGAAGAATAATCTTGTATTGAGACATATTCAATTTGTCAATGATTTTTTAAAAACTTCCATAAAACTTTTAAGCAAAACGTATAAAAATAAAATTTCAAAATTTGTTTCTTATTCATTCCAAGATTTTGGGGGACTTTCACAAAAATAAAATAAATAATGTAATTTTTGTTTCTTTCAATAATTCCCTTTCATTTTCCCTTCTACGGATAATAGAGTTATGATTAATAAATTATTTTTTCTATTAGTTATATTTGTTTCTATTTTTCTTTTTTATATCTCTTTTATTGTTTATCTCCATTTTCTATGAAAAAATTAAATTGCAACTAAAGATTCTTATAACTTTTTTTTCCCCTTTTCATTCATTATTTATGAAAAATATCTATTATAATTAAATTATAAGAAAGATTTTATATAAAAAAGATTAATTTATAATTAAATTTAAATATATTAATTTTTGTTTACTATTTAAAGGTATGTCATATATACATAACATTAAATTTGTTATTTATTTTTTATCAAATAATAATGAATTTTAAATATGTATGTATATTTTTTATTATTATTATTTATTTATTTAAGAGAAAATTGTAGGAATCACCTCACGTATGTGAGAACTTTTCATTGTTGCACTAGATATACTTGAATTATATTTTAAATTAAAGTCTTTAAAAGTGTTTTGAATTTTATAAAAAATCTATAGAAATTCTACAATAAAAGTAAGTCTACAACCGACTTTCATTAATTCCATACAAATCTATTAATTCCCTGTTTGATGCACCATCTTTTGCCAGATAAATGAAAATTAAATTCCAATTGCACTTTTTGTCATGTTTGATGGTCCCCATTTTCTTGGCAAAACATTTTCTTGGCCGGAGTCCACGCGCCTGTTTTTCCATGAAATTGGTGAAAACAAATTCTACATAAAAGGTGAGAATTTGTTTCCAGGGAGCTGTCATTTTTTACCTTTTTTTCATTTTTTTTTTTAAGCAATTGAAACAAATTTCATGATCAAGTGTAAAAAAAATTTCACTTTCATGGACAATTTTAATGCAAATGAAGGCCAAACGAACACTAAATTGTGATAAAAAAATGATTTTTTAGGAAACATTTTTTTTTTTGGCAATTGAAAACAAATTTTATAACCAATTGTGAAAAAAATTATCACTTTAATGGACAATTTTCATGTAAAACAAAGTCAAACAAACACAAAATTTAAAAAATTTCCGGCTGGAAAATTATACCAATAAAAAACACTCAATCAACAACTCCCTGAAAAATAATTTTTTAAGTAATTACTTTCCCTGGAATTCATTTTCTTTCCACCCATTTTTCACCCTTGCAATCGAACGGACTCTAAAGTCCATCGAAATTCCAAAAGCTTTCACTTAAAAAAAAAAAAAGTCTATAAAAGTTTTCAAAAATCTCAATTGAATATACCCCTTAAAGCCTATATTCGGAAAAGAATATTAGGGACTTTTTAAGAGGAATATTGGTTGGTGCTCATATATTTGTATTATGTAATCAATCCAACATTACAAAAAAGGAATTAGGTATGTAACAAAACAGAGAAATCTTCCATAGTAAAACCTTCTTTTACTAAAAATTTCCTTGGGCTAATGAATGTGTAGCTCTCATATTGATATCGAACAACTTAAAATCTATATTCTTGGTTTTATTTTATTTCTGCATACTCTTTCGGAGTTAGGGATTAATGAATAATTTGCTCTCTCTAAATGTGAAAATCATCTATTTTTGGTTCACCAATTATTGTTGTTTCCCTTCAATTCTCACTTGAACTATTTGTTTATTTTGTTCTATTACATTATAATGTATAGTTAGTTATTTGTATAGATATTTTATTATGTAAGTTGTATAGATAGTGCTTCTATTTATTCTGCTCGTTAGCTTTCTATTAGCCAGATTGTAAGTGTTATGCCCTATGTCC